TGGGTGAAGACGTTTACCTGAGCTTATTTTGGGTGCAATGGTGTCAATAATCATTTCAACATAACGAGGAAAAGCAGCATGAGCGCAGCTGGTCACAGTATGGGTGAAGACGTTTACCTGAGCTTATTTCGTGTGCAATGGTGTCAATAATTGTTTCAACATAACGAGGAAAAGCAGCATGAGCGCAGCAAGAAAAAAAAAAAGTCAAGCAAGAAGTGGGTGACAGGATCCGCGAGGAACTACATCAAGCAATTGGGAGTTGGGATGAACTATGCATGATATGCGTGTCCAGAAATTAGTCCAGGCGAAGGCGTGTCAGTCATCTCACCATCTGATCAGCAAGGAGGAGGACCGTCTTGAGGCTAAACTTGCGGGAGCAAAAGTTGAAGAGATCCTCCAGGCTGGGCCCCAGCAGCTCCATCACCATTACGTTGTAGTCACCTTCTGCCCCACACCATTTTATGGTCGGAATACCCACTACAAGCACAACAAAAGGAGACACTTGTCTAAAACAAAGAACGAAATTGAAAATATGAGAGTCGGAATGTACTGGAAGGTCTATATTTGTTCATTGTGTGGCTTGGACATGAGATGGCAAAGTCTAAAATTCATACTTTTGGATTATTACACCATTTTACCACCCTACATTCCATAGTTGCTTTATTTGGCCCCAAAAATGTTGATAATCGAGTCTCTCGATAGTTTGAACTGTAAAATCATCAAACGCTAGAATTTACGATTTTGTGAACAGCGAATCACAAACAAGCGGGGGTTTATTGTTTAGACGGGAGACAAGGTTCCATGACTTTACCTCCTCCTTGCATCATTTTGTAGATCTTGCTTTCGATGTGGAGTTGGGGATGCTTGGTCTTCACACATTCCAACTTAATGGCAACCTCTTCGCCCACAGAAATATCTGTGCCTAAAATTGGAAACGCATATCGACACACGTTGTGAACCCAAAGCATTTTTTTCCCATCAACATGAAAGTTTCAAAATGAATAATTTGTACAACTACCTCAAAAACAAAACAAAACAACCATGGGAAAGGGACAACTGCAGTTATGTTATTACTGACCTCTCACACGTCTGTTCAAAAGATTTTCTACTCACAGTCAGCTTGCCAAAGCATAATCAATGTGTGGGAACAGATGTTGGGATTTTTTTGGGGTGATGAGACCATATAAGTGTATCAGAAATATGTGCATCAAATGTGTTCAAACAATTCAAATGCCAAATTACAATACATGTCATGTGGCCCTTTTCTTTAGATAGTATGTAAACCTCCAGCAGTCAATGCTCAACCCATGAGCAAAGGCAGTGCAGCCCTTGTGAGGCTTGCATGAGTAATCGATGCTAAAGTCTGCAATCTTTTATTGTCATGCATGTTGAGCTCCTGTTGCGCTGCCATGTCATTTCCAGCCAAGCCGAAGGCTCAAAATGAAGGATTACTCAATTCTGACGAACACACAGTTGCTTTTAGATTTGCTCATCATCGAGGTATACGGAATTATTAGATGTACTTGAATGAGACAAATCAGTGACATGCATGCATTTGGACAAAGACCTCTTGAGTCCAATGAAAGATGAAATGCTAATATTACCGCTCACTGAAATTTAGTGTAGAACACGATTGAAGCCACCACACGCATCGATTGTGTTACGAGAAAATGACCTTACATCATTCAATTATAAAATGTGGATGCGGGTCCTGAGAAATTCGAGAGCAACGAATTGAACTGCTTTCATTTGCAGAGGTATCACAGCGAGAAAGATGAGACCGTGGCCTTCGCCGTGCTGACGGGTTATGGGGGTTGTATTGTGTAACTACGGCCAACTGTTTGTCGACCGACTCGACTGAAAACGAGAAGCTTGTAGCAACGGATAAACAACAGGAACTTCTGGGTGGGTCTTCTCAAGCACAACCCAGAAGTCAGCTTGATTGTCCAATTCATTTGACGTAACATATTCCACTGAACCCCCCCCCCTCCAACTGTCTAGATAGCATTGCCAAAAATGAACAGTAACTCGATTAATTTAACTCCAATTGTGTTTTTTAACACCACATTTTCAGGTGATGGCTATGAGTCAAAGAGATGAAAACTAGATCGGAACTAGAACTGTTAGCTAAAACAGTGGCTGGTCTCAACACAAAGGTTAAGATCAGCAACAGTGACGATAGCTCTTGAAACGACTGCTCGTGTCACGTCGATGCGGTGGATACGACAAATATATTCAACACTCACAAACAAGATGAAAACACAAACAATTATGGATATTTTACTTACCCAAATAGATATCACCGAACGATCCACTTCCGATTTTTCTTCCTAGTCTGTATCGGTTCCCCACTCGAAGTTCCATCTTGTCGCTGACTAAATTAAGCGTTCCCTTGCCTTAAATCTACTAAACTTTCCACTTTTTGTTTATTTGACTACCTGCCTTAAGTGGTTGACAAGCCACCAATTCTCAATGCTTCTCTCCCCGGAATCGGTTCCTTCTGTACAATCCAAAATTCACCATCCCTTTTCTCCTTGTCTGAGAGCCGAAGACCAATAATTTTGGTATCAATCGACAGCGTAAAACACGTAGTTAGTGTTCTCTACTTTTGAAAAGTCATTTTGAACTAAAAAACAAGAGGATTGAGATGGATTTAATCGTTTAGCAGTACTCGTCCAGCTCACCTCTAATCGTAAGGCAAGTTTTTTTTTCTTCGTCGTGAAAGCGGGTTGGACAGTGACGTCACTTCCCCTAGCAACCGCTGGCAGATATGGAAATTACCCAAATCTTTTGCCGGACCATTATATTCATTATTTACCAATTATGTCACTCTATTTAATCGATGACATAAAAAGAACAAGCACTTATAGGTGGTTTTGCAATCTTTACTTAAGTTGCTTTAAATACAATAAGAGACTGCGGATGTTGGACATGGGGCATTTTAATTCGAATAAAAAGCAAGACTGCAAGACTTACTCATTCTTTAACAACATGGTGATTAAAGACGAATTTATTTTCTTTGGAAACGCCCTGCCTTGCATGGGCATAAGATCGGCGAGGACATACGCCCATGTTGGTCCTCTCCAAATCTGGAGCCACAGCCTCCAGTTGTATATTTTCTGATTGGCTGACCGTGCGTCAGCTGCTGTCGATTTTTCTCATTGGTTGCAGGGGGGGCCAATCAGAAAAATGATCTAGGCCGCTCACATGGCCAAGTTGTTGTTCCACAGATTGGATAACTAACTGGCACGTGTACTCCAACGTTCTGCATGTCGTGCACATGCTGCGTTCAAATCCCGTAGGATTAAAAGTTTAGCACTACTGTATTTGATAGTTAATCAAGAAATAATTCAAACACAAGGAAGAAAGATATTCGTGAAAAGGCCCGTTCATAGTCCATCTTTAATGCAAATCAGACAACAGACAAATCAGACACTTTACAGCTACGCAAATCAACCATTACAATTCAATCTTTACATCTTACAAACCAAATGTTTTTTTTGTATGTTGTATGTTTTTTGTATGCAAGAAGTGTATCAGATACTTCTTGCATCTACCATGCTTTTTGCATATACTGTATGCTGATGTAAGGCTCTGTCACGTAGCAATGCAATGAGGCCCAGGGAGGACGCCTGATGCCCTCACCTCCAGGCTGTGAGTTTCTCCAACACCTAAACAGTGAAATATATCCACCACACTTGTATAATGTACTGCGTTGTGGATTTGTGTGACGCAGTTATGTAACCTAGCCAATCTTGCATAGCCGGCCTGTACCTACTGCTAGTATCTGTTTATTCAAGGTAATTGACTGATACCAGAAGAAAGTCCTCCCATCCAAGTCGAGTTGGTGTCATAGTTTTGATTCTCGGTTGTTAAATATACAGTGCCTTGGCTTTTTACCCATTATAATTGCATTTCATTCAAAGTCAAAAAGTTAGCGTGTGTGTGTGTGTGTGTGTGTGTGTGTGTGTGTGTGTGTGTGTGTGTGTGTGTGTGTGTGTGTGTGTGTGTGTGTGTGTATAAAATTCCCCCTTTGAGCATATTTTTTTTGTACAACGTTCTAATGCCACCTACTGGTGGCCGGGCGTACTACAGCTTATTACAGTATTTTCAGTGAACCAGTATTTGTTGCTTGCTGAGAGCAAAGGTACTTTTGACAAAGTTGCCATTAGTATCCGAACCATTTCACGTGTTCACATGGGTTTGAAATTGCATTTCCGTAGTGATGGAGATGTCGTCAGTGCGTGAAAAGCATGCTGTGTTGGACTGAAGTTAGACGACTGATTTGAGCATTAACGTATATCGGACTGGAATCCTGCAAACATTTTGGTGACGCAGTAATGTTCATGACTCATGATATGTTTCTTGTATTTATCTGAATGTGAGCGTACGTAACACCCGTGCACGCCTCAGAATTAATCTTGTTCCTTTTGTGAAAAACAAACCTGAGCTTAGTAGCCACCATGTTTGTGGCATGTGTAATTGGCTCAGGAGCTGATCCTTTCTTCCTTCATATTTTCTTTCATTACATATTTCTGACACAAGTTGTAAGTGGTTTAATCAGCCCGAAAATCAGACTCCATAACATCATTCATTTACACTTATGCCACTTTCACTAAATGCTTTTGAGCCTCTGAAATTGGAGCTTTTCTCCATTAAAAAAACAGCTGCAGTTTCCAAACGGTAAATCCACAATGCCAAAATGGATGTGTCTCATATTTATTATATACAGTATACATGTACTGTATATAGTTGTGTGATTGAAAGAAAATACTGTTGTTTTCAAAACATGAACCTGGAAAAGAGGAGAATATGGACAAGGTCCTTTAGTTGACCCCAACACTTTGTTTTGTTACATTATGCACGTCTTCCACTTTCTTCCTTGCGTTTGTCATTTTCACCTTTGGAGTTCAGCTCTCAAAGCTCCTCCTCCAATGTAGCCTTCTGTCAAAGCACTGTTCCTCCTCCCCTTTGAATCTCCTCCACTTGTTTTTCGGGGCAGGACTTTCTGGAAGCCACTGTCTGTGCTCTGTGTTTGAGGAGTCAAGTGTGATCTAAGGAGAAAGATACGCGCAAAAAAAACAAAAACAAAAAAAAAACCCCCAAACAAGAAAGGAACCTTGCTGGTACAAGAGTGGGACAGGAACTGAAGGAAAATAAATTCTTCTGTTTTTCTTTCTTTCTGAGAGGAGAATAACGTGCCATGGCATCCAAAGTAAGATTTTGCCTCTTGCCAATAACTTTGATCCTGCAACAAACAATGTACTGATTGGTGTTTGTGGAGTGAGGGAACAGAAGTAAACACTGTTGTGCTTATGTTCTGAAGTCTGACAGCCCCAAATATAAAACATCCGCACCAGTTTACCGAGACGTCTTTGAATGACTTTGAATGCTCCATTAATTTATAAGAATTTGTTTTCCCAGTTTTCAGGTTGATGCCATACAAAAGGAATAACTTGTCTCAGCATGTCGCAGGCACCAGGCACATTATTCCTCCAACATCGAATATGCACCACCATGACCATGAGGATGGCATTTTAGCTACGCCGATCTTGTTATTTTTCTTTGTCTGACTGTTGTAATGTGTTCATGTGTACAAACAAAAATAAAAACAATCGTCCGCTTTATTTTAAAAGACTTAACAGTGGCCTATCAAATAGACCAGGCCTTAATAATACCATTTTGAAAAGTAATTTGAACATTGCAGAAGTGCGTATGAATATTGGCAGCCTTTGGCATGAATCACTTTCGAAGAAGTGGCCCTCAGCTTCCAAAAAGTTGGTCACCGCTGGTTCTAAACACTCAAAAACATGATTGACTTTCTTGATTTCCTTCTATATTGCAGATGGCACTTTCCATCGTTTGGATGTTGATGCTCTTCTGGCATTGTCCAATCCTTACCTACCGGCCAACTGAACATGGGGTGGAAGATCCAAAGATCAGAAGGGACCACAAGGAGCAGGACTACCATCGTGATGCCAGGTGCACACCTCGTCCAAACCGATTTCGGTCGTATTTGCCTGCTGTCTGAATGTAATCTTAGCCGCCATCTTGAACCAGGCTCTGATCTGCAACAACAATGACAACATACTCGACCTTATATTAAATATTTTTGGTTTTTTATTGCTATGCCATTTTTGAACAGTGTGGAATTTATTGAAACATAATGACAAGCTGTAAAAACAAATATTCATTCATTCAATTTTGAACCTTTTAATTTAATTTTTTAAAAATATATATTTCAATGAATGTCAAAGTTGAAATATGTGCTAATATTCTTTTGTGGGGTGATATTTTTATATCAGACTCCAGAGGAGTAGTGCCTCACCAGTCATGAACGTCAGTGCACTTCATTGGCATGACAAGAACTCAGTTCAGTGAGCATCGAAAGATGAACTGACTAAATTGCCTTTTGTCTGTTTTTGTTTCTCCCACACTCGTTCCAGTAAAAGGATCGATTTCAATCAGGAGTATTTGGCATGCGATAATGTGAGACGAAAAGAAGAATAGTTAGGTCACATTTCCGTTTGCTATTAGGGTTTAAAGCAACACTGTTCTATTGTGACACCGAACTATGAACAGTAAACTCAACATTGGATGGTTGTGACATTTGGACCCGAAAATGGATTATTCCTGTTGAAAAAAAAGTTTGATTTTGTGACGACACCTTTGGAATGATAAAAGTACCCTTCTAATGTTTTTTATTTTTTTGGTAATATGAAGACAATTGCGATACATCTTAACTCGTCTAATTGTTCATTGTACATGTGAAGGGGCAGAGAGTGTCGCCGCTGCTGCGACCCACGAGAGTCTGCCAGCCAGCAATACCCTCAGTACCAGATTACACCTCAGATTAACATGACCATATTGAAAGGTAAAACCACAAACAAATTTTAACTGCCTTTATCGACTGTGTTCATACATACTGCATATACGCATGTCAACACGATCCATTTGACAATTTTTACCGGGCTATCATTTCCTATAATTGCCCCTTTGACTTGATTCAGGGTTTATATCCATTCCCCGAGTTTGTCCGAATGTGAATCGTAAGCAGACGCAAATCAAGTACCAATTTAAAAATACAAAAGAAATTGCTCCACACTCTGCTTCTTATCCTTCCGACAGGTGAGAAAGGTGAGGTTGGCGGAAGGGGGGCTTACGGTAAACCCGGCAGAACAGGTCAGACGGGCCCACCGGGTTCTACTGGGATAAAAGGAAGCAAAGGTAGCATGGGGATTCCGGGGGAGCCCTGCAAGAGCTACTTTGCGGCTTTTTCAGTGGGCCGCAAGAAGGGTCTACACTCTAACGACTACTACCAGACACTCACATTTGACACCGAGATTGTAAATCTTTACGGACACTTCAACATGTTTTCGGGTAAGTTCTACTGCTACGTGCCGGGGATTTACTACTTCAGTCTGAATGTGCACACGTGGAATCGAAAGGAGACTTACCTTCACGTGATGCACAACGAGAAGGAGGTCGTGGTCCTCTACGCGCAACCCAGTGACCGCTCCATCATGCAAAGCCAAAGTCTGATGTTGGAACTTGAGAGAGGTGATCAGGTCTGGGTCAGACTGTATAAAGGAGAACGTGAGAACGCCATATTCAGTGACGAATTTGACATTTATATCATATTCAACGGACATCTGATCAAACACAAAGATGAGCTGTAGATATCAAAGTGGCAAGATTTGAATGGTTTTTACTCATGGTAGAATGGTGAAATATGAGCAGAACCGGTTCGGTTTCTCATCATGATGATGCTAAAATCTTTAGACAGTGGGGGTACCGAAGTATACGGGTCTTTTTTTAATTTTTTTTATTTTAACTGGGTGTAAATAAGCCACATTTGTTGAATGACAAAGATTACAGTGCTTGGTTTTGAGACTCCAGCCCCATAATAGTAACACATAACAGTAATGAGAATAAATAATGACCATTAAGTGCCCTTATCTGCTCAAACATACAAACTATATATTAAAGTAAGGGGCATAACTGCATTTGTTGTTCAAAACAAAAAAAAATATTGTTGAATAACACGATGTATCAAATGTTTCACGGTATCATTAACAACTACTGTAGTATCATTATAAACTCCCTGTCAATGGAGAGACTCCGCACTTCATTTATTTTAAGAAAAGCTGACAATAAATGTGAAAAGTCTACCAACAACACCATAAAGAGAGCGCATTGCACTTGTTTTATGACAGTTCTCACATCTATTTCGGTTTTGGGAAAATGGAATCTATCTATCTAACTATCTGCTTTGGTCAGATTGAAACTTACTTGTCTTCATTATATATATTTTTTGACGTTATTCTCTTGGAGCATCGATGTAAACAAGCTTTCTTTTTAAACGATGTGTCAAACTTAAGGCCAGAGCCAGACCGCCACATCATTTTCTCTGTCAAACTAAAGCAAATCAAGTGTGTCCGTATGTCATTTTTTTCTTGCTAACTGGATTTGCTCTTTCATTTTGGCGGAAAATCTTTTCACTTTTACCTCTTACAAATGTTACAAAGCATTATTTTTCTTCGCCAAATCTTAACATGAACAAAGGTATTTATTTTTGTTGTCACGATTTCCCATGGAAACTCTTGATTTCAAATGCATCGCATAGAAATGTCGGGGAGATTGCGTGTACGTAATAATACGATGAAGTGACGATGTATTTGTTTTTTTCACAATCATAAACGACCCTTTGAGTTTATGTCACGCAATGAGAACGACTTCGACATCGCTCTTCATCCTCAACCTTGACACAGCGCAAACTGGCGTTTGAAGCGATGACAACTTTCCACCACACGATGGCAGACTTTGACTGCTTAATACGAGGCAGACGCAAGGCGTTGCTAAAATGTCAGGTCGATGTTTACAATATTTATTCATTCACTTGTTATCTGTTTGACCATATGAACGACTAGCTTTTTTAATACCTTCAATAATGCCATTTGCACTGTAGACTGTGCCCCACTTTTGTAGTTGTGTCGAAACTATATGCTGCATGAATTAGCATTCGTAGAGTTATTGGCTTTTTTTTTTTTTTTTTTTTTTTTTAATGCCACGAAGCGCTGTTCAACAAATTCTGTACACCCCCAATCACGTTACCGAAATTTGGTGCTTAACGTTTGCAAATAAAATGTATCAACCATCTTGGGTACATTGTGGCGAACTGTCAGTTGCTGCGTGAACCTTCAATAAGGTCATTTATTGATTCGGAAAAAAAGTCTTTATGTTAATTACGACACCCTTTTCAGCTATTGGGTAAGGGAACCTGTGTAAAATCACCTCCAAATTTTCTGGAAAATGCTTCAGGGACTGTATTTGTCACCGTGCTGATTTTACCTGGTTGGAAAAAAAAGGTATCCAGTCCAATATTTTTAAACAACATGCAAGCTGTACGTTGCAGGTTGCTATGCAGTACCATGATCAGCAGTAAACCTCATCCAAGCTGTCTTTTGCCATTCATTTTCCCCAATAAGAGCATTTGCCGTCCTTCTCTGGTGCGTTGGCTCAAGCCAGTCACTCCATTCCCAAGTGGTTTGTGGCTACTCAGGAAATACAGCTATAAAGGCGTTGTGTATGTGCATCTATATGTGAGGACCCACAAGCAATATCAATTTTTAATTCGCTGAGCACATTGAAGGGGGCTGCTACAGACATGCCGGCATTGTCTATTTATTAGCATATGCCGATGGGAGGCCCGCTCTAAATAATCAGCCTGCACGGGACACCAGCGCAATGAGACATTAATATTTCATAGCGCATTGTGTACCTTGGTATATAGAAACATAAATAGTCTTGGTTCATGATGGTTTAGTAGGTATTAAAATTGAAGACTACCTACCCCCTTCTCCCTCAAGTTTTCAACAAGACCCGGAATTCCCGTTCAAACGTTCAGGCTTAAATAAATCCTATACAAACTGCAATCACGTTCTAAACATATTGAAATAGACTAAATTCAAATAGAGACACATCTTTAAATGCTAAATTATTGATCTAGCCCTCTGCAAGTGTTAATAGTTCTCAGAAAGAGGCCCCCAGAAAACCTTCCAATGCACGAAACATGCCAAAGATCGATGCCTATGACTTCTCCCTCAAATTAAATTAAATAATGAATTGCTTTCGGAAACAATCTACACAAATCTAAACTTATTAACCCTTTCATTCACCTTGTAACCTGATAACATGAGAAGCTGTCCACTGTCGTAACCACTGTCCCTGAAAGGGTGAAATGCTGCGATGGGACAGAGTGGCGATCATGGCCACTCATTTTGTGGAAGCATGTGACGTTGCTGGATTTTTTTATTAGGTTGGAATTTCGTAACAATGACATTGAGAAGCGCTATTGTCCATGTCGTCTGATTTCATTCACTATGGCAGTCCGTACCTGTGGATGAAAATGGGTGCTTTAGGCTGAACCAGCTTCTCCAAATCTGTTGTTGATCATTTACCCGCTTTTGTCACTGTGCATGCTTACATTCATTTGTTCCAACAACACCTGCTTGTCTTTACCTCTGACCGGCTGACAATGAAATTTAACGCATCTTAAACACCGTTAGTCCCGTGGAGGCTGGTGTTGAAAACACTCACCGGACATGTATGAGGAATCAAATGTGACACTCCCACAGATGTGATGCATTGAGTGTGTGTGGCCAGTTTCAGCAGACTAAGCCCTGTGATCCTCCACCCTTGCCAATCAATGATGAGGCTGTGGCGGCTGTGTCAGCAAATCTGAGTGCTCACTTATGTGGCCACAACAACGGTGCTCATTCTTTGTTGGGGTTTTCTTCAGCTTCAGACTTGGGATAAAGTGATCTGCAAAGAAAAATACAAGATAAGTACCAAAAAAAAAAAAAGGCGTAAAGATGAGAAACACATTTGGAATGATGATATTACAAGGAAAAAAATATTTTAAAGAATGAATGTCAAAAGGAGGTGCTATCACTCTCCAGAGACTGGACATTTATTCACAATTCATTTTGATCATGTTAAAAGCCTTACAGGTCCCATGCCATCTAAATCATATGACATGGTTAAAAGGCAAAGGTCTGTAAAAATGAGTGGACTTGGGTTCTGCGTCATCGTGACGGACTATAGATTTGTCACTCATGATTGAACTACCTGCCCACTTGGTGGAGGCTGAAACAAAGGAAAAATGGCGGCTGCTTATTGAGCAACGCTAAAACTCAGCATCAGCTGGCAACCTCAGAAGAGTCAAGCAATGAAATGCTTCAACATTTTTTGGGAGAATTAGAAACGTACTACGTTCAGGCACATTTTGAGGAGGATGACTTTGTCAAATTTAAAGCTTTCACACATACCACAAAATACATATCTGAATTTTAAGCGACACAGGCATGTATACACACACATTGGTCAGTTCCTCGCTGGCGGCTGTAAGGTCACGTAGTGTCACCATGGAGATTGATTAAAAAAAATCTGAGATGCCAGAGATGATGACTTCGCGCTCGTCAGTCCGCGGCTGCGAGGTTGCCAGGTGTCACCGTGGAGGGGAAACATAAAGAGAAAAAAGCCACCACAAAATGATGAGACAAGTGGCCACATATTGGGAGCTGTCAATCAAAGGCAAACTACTTCCTGCACAAAATAATGAGAACAGCAAACCAGTCGATTTAAAAAAATATATATACATTATAAATGAGAAAATGGCTCATTCAAAATCACAGGTATTTCTGGTCCAACGTAAATTATCTTGCAAACCTGATAAAAGGACATCGAAGAGAAATCCCACAATCGCAGTCATTTCATTTCACATATTTTTAAACTCAGCAGACCCAAATGTTTGCGCAAGCAAATTGCCCACGCTCCCGCTTGACCTGACAGTTAACCATCAGCTGCCTCCACAGGCCAAAAAGGCCCGATAGGACTCCTTTTTTCAGATAACACCCATCATCGACAGTACGTAACTAGTGGCAAGGTAATAAAAATAGTGTGTCAATGTGTCACATCTAGTTTGACAAGAGCGCTCTGACGGCAGCCGTCAGTGTGACAATTACCGTTGACCAATTCCTTGACATTAGCTACCAAAAAAAAAAAAGGTGAAAGAAAAAGCCCCAAATAAAATTAAAATAAAGAGGTGACAACATGAAATAATCATCAAATCCTTTTTTCCATTAGCTTGCAAAAAAAAGGTGAAAGAAAAAGACCAAAATAAAATTAAAATAAAAAGGTGACAACATGAAATAATCATCAAATCCTTTTTTTTTCTCTGCACCGGGGTTATATGAAACATTAATACATGCTGTATATTCCTCCCCCTTTCTCATCTGCGACTCAATCCCGTGGTTATATCTCGAGGGGAAAAACTAATAATGACAAAAAAAAAAGAAAAAATATGCAGAAATGATTAAAAGTTGCTTCTCTTCAAAACTTACATTAGGATTAATGGGAAGGGTGGGGGCAAGAGATTCAGAGAAATAGATCTCAGACTTGGTGGAAAGTCAGGAGAACAATGAGGAGGGGTGGGGGAGGGGGGGCAAGGTGAGACTGAAGGAAGTAACACAAAGAAAGGTGATCGAATGTGCAGGACAAAAAAAAAAAAAGTAGAAGGAAGTTGATGTCGAAGAAAGCAGAGACTACCAGCCTCTGTCGGTGTCTGTAGTTAATATTCTAGCGGTTTGCCTTGGTCCATGCACCTCATTTCTGTCTGCAAATATTTATACTGGGTAGCCCTGTATCTATGTTTTCTTTTATGCTGACACACACACACACACACACACACACACGGCATACATACACACATGGCGTCGACTACATCATCTTATTACAACACATGCACCAAAGACAGCAAAGTTAAAAGGCCATGTCTATACAGACACTGGTATTTTAAAACAAATGATTAGTTTTCCTTGTTTTCAAATGTTTGGAAAACTCGACCACGGCGAAAATGTTCCACGGCTTGAATTTGAACCGTGTGAAATTTGTTTTAGTTGCCTTTTATCCACTGATTGACATCACACCGTCGACCGTTTTTCAGCACCCAATCGATTTCTTTTTGACCCAATTTCGTTCACTGCTCAGGATTTGGAGTCGAACTAATTATTTTCTCATTAAATTTGGAGTTTGTGGCCTTGACAACACAGAAGCATCTGCTGCATAATGAAACTGTACACAGCAGGTTTCTTTTTTTTTTTTTTTGTGTGTGCGCGCG